CCAGGGGTGGGTTTCTCGCCCCGGTCCCAACGGTTCGGTTGGAACGGGGCCGGCGGGGTCCTCGTGCATGCGCGCAGTGCATGGATGGGCACTAGCGTCTGCGCGATGCTCCAGCTGCTCCTGGAGGATCGCGCAGGCGTTGTATGCGTCCTGCGCATGCGTGGAAGCGCAGAACTCGTCAAAACCGGGTAAGGGGCGCGGGCAGGCAGGTGGGCCAGTCGCCGTTCCCGGAAGTTACTTACTTCTGGGTTCGCCAACCAACCGGTTCGCAGGGACCGCCGCGAACCGGTTGAAACCCACCCCTGATACATACATTCTCCTCTTTGAATAAAATAATCAATTTAACAATTTATCCTTTATCTTCCTTGTTATGGAAATTGTATATACTTCTATTTGTACCTAATAATCGTTGTGAACTATTGCCATCAATTCTCCTGACCTTTGGGCCCAAAAGTTACATCCTAGTAGCTGTACAAATCATTTTGAAGCTCTTCCTAACTGTTTTAGCTCCTAATAAGCTGCAGTACCTACTTTCATTGTTTTGCATAAAGGTAGTCCTCAACTTACAACCACAACTGTCAGTAGAATTTCTGTTGTTAAATAAATCATTCCAGATTTTACGAGCATTTTTGCCTCCCTCATTGATTTCGCTTGTTGGGAAGTCGCAAATGAAGATCACGTGACCCCAGGATGCTGCCACTGTGATGAATACATGCTGATTGGCAAGTACTTGAATTTTGATCATGTGACTCTGGGGATGTTGCAACAGTTGTAAGTGTGGATCGACCATAATTCACTTTAGTGCCGTTGTAATGTTGAATGGTCAATGGTCACTAAACGAATGGTGGCAAATCAAAGACTTCCTGTTTTGCTACTTCTCTCCTTTGTACACACATTTAGTGGTTTTCATTTCTTTCTCATTTTTCAGTCTAGAAAGTCATGTATTAATCTGGGAAATGAAAACCAAAAGTCATAGACTTATGATTGGTTGCTGTGGGTGCAAAGGGGGACTTTCCCCTTTTCTCACCTTTCTGTGTGCTCTGTATGCTGTTTGAAGTTTTTACCTCATGATCTTCCTGTGTACCAGAACTATCCTGTCTGCTGTAAATATAATTGTTAAATACATTTTTATATATAAAATTACAAGTTTGTGTCAGTGTCTCTGACTTCATTTGGACAATTCCCTGACATATCTAGATCTGCTAAACAGCTCCAATGTATATGACCCTAGGCAGTGCATGAGTACACCAGTACAAAATTAATATCTCTTAAAGGTAAAGGTTCCCCTCGCACATATGTGTTAGTTGTTTCTGACTCTAGGGGGCGGTCCTCATGTTACAGGAAAGCTTGTGCAACTGGCACAGAACTTGAAGTTGTGCAAAGGCTCTCCTAGCCGCAGCTGCCACTTGCTAGAAGAACCCACAGATTGCAAGGCCTCAGTGGAAATGTGTATTTCATCATCATTTTCATCATATTTTTTCCATTTTTGTCTGTTTCAGTTGATGCTTTAGTTTCCACACAGGTTAATATGGTAGTTGATTTCTGAGTTCTTCCATGAAATGATTTTGGCCCGTAACTGTACTGTGAACTACATTTGTACTTATAGGAGAGAATACAGAATTTGATCTGGGGCAGCCCATAAAATTTGTATTTTTCTTTATATATATATGACTCCTTGCTAGTCCTAAAGCAGCTGCAACTCTGAATTTTTCAGCCTTCCACATTTTCCCTTTTGATCTTTTGCTTGTCCTTTGCTTAGCTGTTTGTGGTGGTTGATCTAGACCTTGCCATGGGGTGTTTTCCGTGACCACCAGTTGGAGGAATTGATAAAATGCATATTCTGCTTTTTGCTCTGAGAAGTTAAATGATTTCAAATAATTGGATCTATAGAATCAATGACATGAACTAGTGATAACATCTGAAATGTCTTCAGTCATTCCACAAAGGGCCAGGGTCATGTGCCAATAAAAGTCCCATTTTTCCCATTTGTTTTTTACCACTCCAGCCTGGTGCTCTAGTGCGTTAGACTTTACAATCATATCATTGTGGCAAGCATGGCTGCAGTATTTATTTAATTGGAAGTGTATGAGGCTGCCCAATTCTTTGGTCATTATAGACCATGCTGATTAAGGAGGGAAATGCATGAGGATACAGAATCAATAAAAACTATCTTAATAGGACTTTTCATACAACAAACTAGTTTGTCTACAATTGATTGTATAAACCCAAATTGGTATGTAGTGTCTACCTTCACAAGATAAATGAGGCACAAATACTGTGGCTCGACACAGTAACCGTTTTAAAATGGTGATTTAACTAAATGTGTGGACACAATCTATATTTAAAGATTCTTTTGACAAGGCTGCTCTTCTTATGCATGATTGAGATAATTAAGTGAAGTCATTATAGAAGAGCTGTGCTAGTCTATGGCAGCCAAAAGGCACCCAATTTACATGTGATGAAATGAGCTGTTATCTCGCAGAATCTTATGCCGTTTAACACAATTTATTAGTCAGGAAAGCCGCTACCCGATGGAGTTAAGTGACTAAACTACAAGCCATTGAAGGCACACGCTTTGAAGCAGAAGGTCTAACGAAAAAACGGCCTCCGAAATTCGCCAAGGCAGAGCGCGACCGGTGACCTCACTGGCCAAGGCCACCCCCTCCAAGGCTGCCCACGAGACGAAGAAGAACGAAAAGGGGAATTTGGGGACGGTCCCTGAGAGGTGGCCGGCGAGACGGAGGGAGCGCGTCAAGAGCAGGTCAGCTTTTGACGCTCCGAAAAACGGATTTTGCAGAGAGCCCCTGAAGGCCCCTCTTTCCCCGCCCTCGCCGGCTCCTCCCACTCCGTTTGCCGGTGCTTCGAGCCTCGGGAGCGGCCAGGAGGAGGCTATAAGAGAGACCAGAGGGGTTCGTCGGGCGGCGCTGCTGGCCGACTCTTCACTCATGCAGCGCCGTCGCCGGAGGGGGGGAGCCGCGCGGAAGCACAGAAGGAGCAAGTGAGGCGAGGAGGAAGAATCCCCCGCTACTACCCCACCTCCGCCCCCCTCCCGAGTCAGCCGTCCCCTCAGTGAACGCCTCCGCCTCTTTCTCCTTTCTCGCCTCAATCGGCTC